AAATAAATTATTGATGTTCAAGTCTGGATATTTAGTTTTAATTTATTTGAAGATGTTCTTGTTTCTTTATTTTATAGTTTCTGTTTTTTTAAATTATAGAATATATATTTGCTGCATTACCAAGGACCCAAAGAGGACAACCTCTTGTATTAGGCGGCGATCCCAAAGGAAAGAACTTTTTATATACCAATGGTAACAGTGTTATCATTAGAAATATTGACGTAAGTTTCTATATTGCAATAAATGCTTACTACTAATAACAGATGGACACACTAATTTGCGTATCTCGGAACATTGCAGAATCCAGCAATTGCAGATGTTTATACAGAACATTCTTGCCCTGTAAACGTTGCCAAATATTCTCCTAGTGGTTTTTACATAGCTTCGGGAGGTACGTGATACTTTAATTGTAATATTTCATTTTACCGGGATTTTTAATTACTTGAATATTATATATATGTACATTATCTTTACATGGAAATTATCATCCGTAAATAACATGGTGCATAATATTTAATATTTGTAATCTTTGATAATTGTGCGTTATCACTTTTTCATTGAGATCTTTATAATACATAGAATGTTTCACAGCACTTGAATTATTTTTCAACTTATATTAAATTTTAATATATGAAGGAACCAATGTAGTATGACTTTATTTCAGATCAGTCGGGTAAAGTACGTATTTGGGATACAGTTAACAAGGAGCATATATTAAAAAATGAATTCCACCCTATTGGCGGACCCATCAAAGACATTGCTTGGTCACCGGATAGTCAACGCATGGTCGTGGTCGGAGAAGGAAGAGAAAGGTATACTTTGCTCACTAGAATGCGTAGAAGAAGTAAGATATATTATTGAAGAATTAAGATAGATCGTTAAAGAAGTAATATTGACATGTTAATAATTTATGTTTAGATTTGGGCATGTCTTTATGGCAGAAACAGGGACGTCGGTGGGTGAGATCTCTGGTCAAAGTAAATCTATCAACTCATGCGATTTTAGACCGACTAGACCATTTAGATTAATAACTGGAAGTGAAGATAACACTATTGGAATATTCGAAGGCCCTCCATTCAAATTCAAGTATGTACACATATGAAAAATTTAGTCTATATTCTGTTAAGAATGAGAATTTTAATTCTTCATGTGATTCATTACATGTTATTTATATAGAATGACAAAGCAAGAGCATACTCGTTTCGTTCAAACTGTACGTTATTCTCCTGACGGAAATCTATTTGCTTCTGGTGGATTCGACGGGAAAGTGTTTTTGTATAATGGAACAACCTCTGATTTCGTTGGAGAAATAGGTTCCCCTGCACATCAAGGTGGAGTCTATGGGGTATGTAATCTAATTCGTTTAATGTAATGTGATGTGACATAAGAATATGATTACAAATTATTTAGAATATTATTTAAAATAAATATAATTGAACAACACATTTATATTTACAGGTTGCATGGAAGCCTGATAGTAAGCAATTATTAACCGCTTCCGGAGATAAAACCTGTAAACTGTGGGATGTAGAAACGCGTTCTTTAATCACGGAGTTCAACATGGGAACGACGGTTGACGATCAACAAGTTCGTAACTTATAAATCAGTTTAAAAATACACGGAAAGGCACAGTATGCAAGTAAATATTAAAAGAAGTATTAAAATAATCTGTGTTCCAGGTGAGCTGTCTGTGGCAAGGAAAACATTTATTATCCGTGTCACTTAGCGGCTTCATCAACTATCTTGACGTCGACAATCCTGAGAAGCCTATAAAGATAATAAAAGTAATTCCTGTTCCTGAGATTGATTAATCTCTTTTAAAGTTCTAATTTAATTGTTCTTAATATTCTTTTCATTATATCAGTTTTAATCCAATTTTTTTTTCAGGGTCATAACAAATCAATAACGGTACTAACATTAAGTCCTGATAGAAGTACGATTTACACTGGTTCTCACGATGGCTATATCACCAATTGGAATGCGGAGACAGGCGAAAATGAACGTGTACAAGGGCATGGTCATGGTAATCAAATTAACGGGATGAAGGCTACGGGTAACTTGCTCTATACCGCTGGCATTGACGATACTTTAAGGTCAGTCGATATTGCAACGAATGCATACGCAGAGACCAATGTGGTAAAATTGGATTCGCAACCACGAGGATTGGATATATATAACGATATAGTTGTGGTGGCTTCGGTTCGACAGGTAAGTCAAATGTAAAATGTCTACAAAGATCATTTTTTCGATTTTTTAAATTGATTCAGTAAATTTAACAAAATATTTAGCAAGCTTAAAATTAACTAAGCAGAAAATGTAGTAAGGATAATTTTTTTACGCTATTATAGGACTTGTTAAATATATTTTTAAAAACTATAAATATCTTTGTAGACATTTTGCACTTGTAAATTTTGCGTAATAATGATGTTACTATTAATACTGTATTTTGCAGATCGCAGTTACGCAAGATGGCAAAAAGTTGTCCAGTTTATCAATCGATTATGAGCCATCGTGCGTGTCAATTAATCAAGAAATCGGAGATATAGCTATTGGATCCACATCTGACAATAAAGTTCGTCTGTTACTTATAGTATACGAAAAATGTAAAAAAATAATTCATATGCTATTATCAAGCTTTGTACAATGTAGGTTTATATTTACGAGTTGTCGGACACTACATTAACTCAAAAGACTGAACTAGAACACCTGGGTCCAGTTACGGATGCCTCATATAGTCCTGATAATAAATATTTAGTTGCCTGTGATGCAAACAGAAAAGTTATACTGTATACTGTACCAGAATATAAGGTAAAGTACTTTACATAAAGGATAATTTTAATTATTTAGATTTAATTATGTACAATTAAAAATGTAGTTAAGTCTTGCATGATCGAGTATTTGTTATATGCTATCAGTAATACTGTGTTAGAAATGCAAGAATAGTAATAACATTAAAAATTTTTAATTCAAAAAGTTTTGCTTTTTTAATACCATAATTCAACATGTATAATTGTAATAAAGTTAGTACACTTAACAAAAAATTCTGCCTAAAACTCTAAATTTAATGGATAAATACTTATTAGCATTTATTCACTAAATTTAATTGTGACGCACTATAACGTTGGGGCAATATTTGCTATGCATAAAGTAATTAAGCATAAAGTAACCATGCTTTCATTAATGAATTAATTGCTATTAATGGCTTGTTATGTGCTTATTGGATTAACAGAGGGTGAGTAGTATAAATGGAACTAAATATCCGTTATACAAATACAGTTTGAAGAGAGAACAATTTTAGGATATAAATCTAAATTATTTTGATTTGATTTGCAGCTTGCACATAATAGAGAATGGGGTTTTCACAATGCAAGAGTAAACTCTGTTGCTTGGTCTCCAAACTGTGACATGGTTGCAAGTGGTAGTCTTGATACCACTATCATCATTTGGAGTGTGACAAATCCAGCGAAACATACTATCATCAAAAGTAAGTATAGCAAATATCTTTTTGTAAATGAATCGCAATTAATAAACATTTATATTTCAGATGCTCATCCTCAGAGTCAAATAACACGCTTAGTTTGGCTGGATGAGGAAACATTAATCTCCGTCGGACAGGACTGCAATACTAAAATATGGCGTATAGAAAAGATATAATTAACTTTTGGAAGAATTTATTGCCACTTCTAAGGAAACTCAGTTTTGGAGGCATTTTATTTATTTCGTAGTCTACAAAAAAAAATATTGTATATTATTTTTTAATACAATTCTTGATATATGATTAAAAAATTATATTGCAATGTCTTTTGCACCTTTTGTATCGACTTTATTAGTAGAATAATTCACATCCCATATAACTAAGATTCTGCGGCTCTTTCATTGCTGCAGCTTTATTTTTGCACATATGTAGAGATATTGCATTTTCACTAAGAGTCACACAACTTGTCTAATTTGTCTTTATTAAAACGATATAACAATAACAAGAAAGCGATAACAATTCGAACACTAAAGGTCTTCAGGAACATGATCACACTTTGTACACTTAAAGGTGGAGTTCCAAGGCCCGTGGCTCGCCATAGCTCGGAAAGCCTATATACGCCGTAGAACCAGGATGGCTCGTTATCACCCATGGTTTGTAGCCCGTGATACGTTATTTTCGAAAATTGGCATAAGTTTCACGAGCCAAAGAAACTTTTGTGAGCAGACGAGCCGATAAAGCATCTTACGCTATTGGATCGTCAATGATCGTGTTCAACAGAATGTTTATTTTGTAAATGTTGAAAGTTTTCTTCACTGATGTAGGACTAGAAGATCTCAACGTATAATTAAATTAGCGCGATAGAAAACTTTCAACAGTAACAGTAGTAAAAATAAAATTAATATTCTGTTGAATATTAACGTGGTCAATACTTGCAAAGTTATTTCATACACATTTTTTCATGTAATTATAGAAACTCGACAATTTTTTTATCATCCATACTACGACTTGAATGATCAAAAAGTCACTTATAATGTCTCAACTAGCAATAATAAATAGGCTCTCACACATTTATATGCAAGCATAGAGAAATTGGATGGTGCAATAACGCACAGTAGTTAATTATTTTGTTCAATCAAGGCACGAGCCCTTTGACTCGCGTAATTTACCAACAGTTTGGCGAGCTGATAAGCCTCGAGCTATAGTGAGCCATTCTACGGTACGCCGTAGGACCGCAATTTTAACCTTTTTTTATATCAATTTTGAGACTAATCGTGTGACGAGCCATGTTAAACCGCGGGCCGTGGGACCTCACCTTAAACGAAGATGTTATTACGACTTGTCTTATCATTAATCAGTCCAGTGCTGTTCTTACGAATTCAATTATGTTCATAATCTATCATCTATCATAAATAGGCATAGGTAATCATTCTAAATTATTCTATAATCCAACATATCAATGCTTAATTATTTTTAATTAATGAAATAATTTCATTTCAATTTTTTCCCTTTCTTTTTTTTGTAATTTAACGACAAAAATAATTTTTAACAGAAAGATATATTTTGATGGAAAGGTATCCTAGCGAGGGTTAAAATGTCTATACAGAATAACATAATAGTGACTTTATCATCACATTATTGATGGTTTTGACGTACTATATCGTGGACGTTTTTGAGGAGAAGCTACCGGGTGCCTGTAGGACACATGTTTCCTGAGAGCGTCTCGTGATCGCGACACGTGTGAACAGGATGTGCAGCTGTACGAGCTATTACTATGCGTCTCCATATGTACTCGCAAGTTGTATTGATTACTTAATTGTTTACCACAAATAAGACAAGTGACACTGGATTTGTTGTAACTCTGAGAAGTTCTACTAGGTGTGGACGCCGCAAGTAACTTGAAACTTGCATCCCACACAGCTGGCGGTGGTTTTACATCTTCAGTAGTGACTTGATCCTCCATGATCGGCGCTGTCTCATCCGCTATGTTTTCCGAATAGCCTCTATCGACATACTTATTAACAGATACGTTAACAGGAACTGACGTTTTTTCCCTTTGGTTTAACTTCGCGTTTATAGAGTAATAGGGCTTCGTCTTCACGCAATACGGTATACTTTCTTGGTCATTATTAGGCTCCTCATCCTCTAAAGTATCCATTTTAGGCAATGATACGGATTCTGACGATCCAGGAGTTATTACATTATCTTTCTCTGTCTTTATTATCTCTTCGTTCAGTCTTTCCTGAGGTTGCATTACTGGTGACTGCACATACACGTCGTTATCCTGTCTCGAATTTTTCTGAAATAAGACACGCATAATCATGTAAGTTACATTAAATAATTTCATATCTCTCCATTAAAAACACTGCACTATTAAACACAACGAAAAATATATAATTTAAAGGTGTATTAACTATGCGGCGTCATATGCTTTTAAGCATTTATATTAAAAGTATGTTGAGTTACAATAGAATAATATTAAATAAAATTACTATTATAAAAATTTATACAAAAATAGAAATTGCTTTCGATAATTAATAATCACAATAAACGTATTTTTTAACTTTGCGAATATAAATATTGATGACACACAGCGATAAAAATATATTTTAAAATTCAAGAAAATAAGGTAAAGCATATTCTACATATATTATACAACAGGTTATGCATTGCGCATTAATTATCTATTATGTGCAATTTATTCGTATTTACTTAAAATCAATATTAGAATATATTACTTAAGGATATTTAGCATGATAATTTTTTAAACATTTGTTTTTGTTTTTTTGGTTTATATTGTTCTAGAAATATACATTTGTTAAACAATACTAAGGCCCAGTTCCACAACTCACGATTAACTCTTAACCGAGGTTCAACTTATTCATTGTCTTTTTCCAATTCTAGAATTGAAAAGAAATGAGAAACAAGTTGAACCTGTTAGAAGAGTTAATCGTGAGTTATGGAACAGGGACTAAGTATGCCTAATAAAGTCTAATTTTTTATTTTAAAAACTATTTAGTCAAGAGATATCATTGAATTCTAACAGTTTAGCACATAAAATCCTTGACTACATCTGAAAATCATTTTCCAAAATTATTTTGTCTGTAGGTTTCCATGCATTTTCTTTTTTTTTTTCTTTTAGCTAATAACATCTTTAGAATCAAGAAATTAGTGCTAAACGTTTGTTATCATCACACTTGACTAAACTGTTAAGCATTATTGTACTGCGAAAAAAAACATAAGTGTTGTATGAAATCGCCGTTCTAACTTCGGTAATATATAGTTTTAGTAATTTAGAGATTCATGGAAGAAGCTATTTTAGATATACCTGTAAAGTCATTCTATGGGGTAAGGTTCCATGGGATGCATCCACTTGCATTTAGTTGCAACACACACAACGATCTTGATCTCGTGGATATCGTTTTTATTCATTATCGTTCCTTCGATGCATGTACGAACATAATATGTGTAGCGGTATAATTCCTTCGTGAAGTACTTCTTGAGGAACGACAGTGAATGTGTTTAAGTAACCTGAACAAAACAACACGATCAGGATAATATAAAAACATTAAGTGAGGAACAAGCGAACGCGAATTTTGCTTCGTTCTCCGTTCTGCTAAAGTACGAAAGAAATTAATCATCTGCGACATTTCGAGAAAATATATTCGTGACAATATTATGGCAATTCTGTACTCTTTTTAAGTATATTGGTATTGAACATGAATATTCTAAGGATAGCGTTTACAATACATGTACAATGAGCTATAATATGTACATATTGAATTTATCATGATTTACAGATAAGACAAATTCTACTTAATGAGATACTTAACAGATTTGTTTACAACTTTAACAAATGCTTACAACACTTACTGCTATTGCATATAAATATTGTATCATATAATATCTTTAATATGCAACGTGTTACAGTTTTAAAAAGAAATTGAAAAATAATATACTGACATTCTATTAATTGTAAGAAGCAATATTATTTATGAGCTATATCGAATATACAGATACTATTAATCAAATATTACAATGCATAAACAGTTGTATATCAATGTTAATGAAAAAAAGGAGAAAAAATGTGAAAGGAAAATGCATTGTGGTTTAAAATAGTGCAACTTATTAATAGAAAATGTTGCATAACTATATATTATATACTGGCTATATTGTTGAGCGTATCAACAATACAGTTATTTTGTGCAAATTTACAACAGACATATTTGTGTGAAAAATAAAAAATATTTAGTATATATTCGTAAGGAATAGTAAGAACTGTTAGAAGGAGTTATATTCCTGTATAACGGCATTTAAAAACGCATGCTTTGTTATAAGCAATTAAAAATTTTTGTTTGAGGACAAGCTTATTAAAAAGATTAAATATTATTCATGCTAATTACCTTAAGTACTAAAAAACACGCCATTAATTTAATAACACGAAAATGGCAGTCTTTATTTCTGAATATATTATAGTACAATAAAATTGTTATATATATTTAGCTCTCTCATTATTTATTTCTTATACACAATTAGCAAGCTTGCACTCGATCTAACTTTGAAACTTAATAGTAATAATCATATTTTCATAATTTGTATGTCTCAGATACAAATAGATACTGTAATTTGAAAATTAATTAATAAAAAAAAATTAATACGTAATACGCGCACCTAAAATAAGCAAATTAAATATTTTATTATTTTGTATATCATTATTTTTCGTTATATTAAGACAAAGAACTCGATAATTTCACGAACTATGTATTTTATATGACGCCAAAAGTATTGATATAAAAAATAAAATACAAGCTAAAAATGAAAATGTACAATACATTCAGAAAATACAATATAAATGCAGAGAATAGCATAATTTCTTTTACATAATACAAGCTTTCCTAATACTCTTCAAAGTAGACCGTACATCTTTTTAATATCGTTTAAGCACAAAAAATCACTTACCCCAGCCATGTCAGCTAATCCACAAATGTGCAAGGTATCAGCCATAGCTAAAAGTGCAGGTAACTGTTCTTGATAAATATTCACTTCTCCATTATACATAAACTTGACCAGAGCACATAAATTTGCATATTCCATGCCTGGCAGCACAATGACCGGATGTTGCAAAACGCTTAAGTCCTAAAAATGTTTTCATAGAATTCTTATCTTATTATTAGTCTGAATTTAAACATATTTGATCACATAAGCGACACAATATTAACTTAACATCACAGTTTGAATTAATTTAGAAATCCATTACATTTAGCTTATTCAAGCAATCAAATTAACTATCCAAAATAGTTTTATTCTTGAAGGTATTAGATGTTATTACTTACAAAAAAAAAAGAAACAAGTAGAGAAGCATGAAAATAATATAATATTAGAATAGAGCTGATTAAAAAAAATTTTCTTTTAATTCATAATTTATTATGTCATTAATAGATCGATATGTTACTCAAAGCGTTTCATAAAAGGAAAAGTTATCGAGATTAAGTCTAAGAAAGAAACGAACACCAGCTGGCAGCAAAATATAAGCAAACAAAATATATTGATTTAAAAGACATGAAGTCTTCATGGCTTGCATAATATGATTGAGACAGTTTTATACGTATAAATACCTTAAAAAGTTCTTTAAAGTAATAACTACAAGCCGAGAGTATAATTCTGTGAGCATGAATATGTCTACCGCCGGCACTGAGCGTAACGTCTGTCAGATGACCACCGTCAAGCAACTTTGGCAACGAGCTCAATAGAGTATTTTGAAAATTATGCCATCGTAAACAGAACTGTTGACCTTCCATGTTTCTGCCTGCTGTAAGAAAAAAAGGATCACCATATTGAAACATTATATTTTATAAAAGGAAAAATTACCAGAATTAAGTCTCAATGACTGCATAAGAAAGAAAATACAGCACCAGTTTGCAGGAAAATCTAAGCAAACAAAATATATGAACTTAAAAGACACGAAATCTTCATGATGTCTTGAATTTGTATAAATTTATTCTTTCGCAGAGGATTAGAACATTGCAGTGAATATTTTGTTACATAATACACAAATTCATATCTATATTCATTCACGTACATCTAATCTAATGATATTAACTCTCTAGAGCTAACGTTAAAGTCTATAGTAAAAGGCAAGTTTTTTAACTCATCATTGTTCAATCGCATTATGCGCAAATGCAGCTTTTATTGAGTAAAGTTGCATTTGTGCATAAAGCAATTAATCAATCAATGGATTAAAAAACTTGTGCTTATAGTAATTGATGTTGAATCTGTAAGATTTAATTTAATTTAATCCATTTAATTTATACAATAGCGAATTTAATTGAGTGCATTAATGTGCACTGACAAATATTAAAGTTATCAATACACTGATTTAATCCAAATGTAAAGATAAGATGCAAATATTTCGAATTATAAATACATATATACCTTATCTAACAGCACAGTAAATTATATATTGAAGAGTTTGAGGTATATCTTTTATATTAAATAACATATTTTTGTATCAATTTATATACAGTCTCAATATGTACCAGTGCATACTGAGTGCACCCAATCAAATTCGCTATTAATTAAAAAGCACTAATTAATTTCATGGAGAACCAAAACTCTTATAAAAAAAGAATCAATACTAAGTATATTTTAATAGAAATAATTCAAATTTGCAGATGTAACGTAAAGAAAATTGAATTGACATTTATGGCAAAGAGATTTATAATTAAATGGGTCCAATAAACCTACCGTCAGCTTTGGAGGAGCTTAAACATTAATCAGGCACGTAACAATTCGATTCTCTCGTCGTACAGGATAAAAGGTCATAAAAGCCACGAAATCGCAGAGTGAAAGATGATTTTCTTCTGGTCGATTCGAAAGAGATCTAAAATTTAGGGAGATCTACGTCGCGAGATCGCGACGTAAGGGAGGTGGGGCGATAGTCCGAGAGATACAGAGGGAGACAATACTATTTATTTAATCAGGCTCTGTGCAGGTTCCAGCCAAATCTATTATTGTACTCAGGTATGGCTGGAGGAAAAGGACGGCCGTCGCGTCCCCGCGATTCGGGACAGCTCGCGGTGGATAGCTCACTAGCACAGATGTAGCCGAGGCATCGACATGCCTGTGAGAGGCAGGGAGACCGAAAACCTCGCGTCCGTCGTGTCTTACCTCGTGAAAATCGTTGGACGTTGTCCGTCACAAACGACCCGTTCTCAGCGTAAAACTGCCCCTCTCATCTGGTGAGCGCCATAATCGCAATTGGCGCGGGTCATACGATCATGAGAGATGCGCGCTAAACCAGATACTACATAGCTGATGGCCACCTTTTGACACTATCTAGAATTTATTTACACAGTTGCCAATTTAGCGATTTTGCCGCAATTTCAAATGTCATCTTGGTGGACAAATGTTAGCTAATGATGACTTTAATTATAAGTTTGCAATATTCAAATTTTACGTGCTTAACGGGCTAATATATAATACTGCTTATAGTATAAATGGTTTTGAGCTACTTTGGACTATTTTAGCGCTATAATTGGCGACGCAGTAGAGTCCCTTTAGTTAGGAGTCATTAAGTCACAGTAATATATAATTAATTAATAATTAATTAATCCACATACAAAAAACTCAGAATTTTACTTATATACGTTTTATAACAAACTTGATAATTTCTTAGCATACTAGAATTACAAATAATACTCTTATTTAACTATCTTGAAGTTTAATAATACTTGCACGTATCGCTATTAAAGCCAAAAGCCGACCAACATTCCACGTTAACAAAAGTAAATAATTTATAGCTAAATAACAACATCAACGAACATCCGTATTTAATTCCTTTATTTAATATTTGGAGGAAAGAAAAACACCAAAACAAGATATATATAATATCAGGTACTATATTCAATGTACTTTGTAATCATTTAGAGTACCCACATAAAGTTTAAATTCTAAAGATTATAAATCAAATGTTCAACTCTTACTACTTTTAGCATTTTTATATTAGGCTTTATACCATTTAAACATCCTATTCTAGATCTGATTTTTGGTCATGGTCGAACCGGCTCAGTGTCGCTACTTGGAGATGGTTATACTACTGTGGTCAAATCATAAGGGGTACCGATCTCTGATTGGTCAGATTTCGAGTCTCCTTAAACGCCGCAATTTGCAGATACTTTCGATGGAGTAGTGAATCTGTGAATTGGTGTGAGCAATTGTTTCATGGTGTAGAAGGCGTGAACGCGAAATCGGACTATCAACTGTCAACTATGGATTGTATTATTTCCGGACTATCAACTGTCAACTATGAATTGTATTATTTCCGGCCACCCGACAATGGCGTCCTTCTGGTCTTATATATCTTCTTAACTCCTACTAGAGGAACTTTACGATATACAGGTGTAACGAGTACAGCGTGTTACAGTGCCAAAGTCACTAAAAATCTGGCAACCTTGCCTGGAAACGAATTGAAATTTGACGCGATTTTAAAATTTCGAAATAGTTTAAAGAAGTTCGAAGGACTATTTTGAAATTGACTTAATCGACAATTAATTCGATAAATTTGCTCAAGGCAAATTTAAATTAATCTACTGAAATTGACAAATTGACCTACTGAAATAAAAATTTTTTCTATAATTTAATTCGTGATCATCTCTAACCTTTTTTTGTTATTTAATATTTATATTTTATATTATATGTTAAAGACGACAAAAAATAGTACAGATAGTTTTATCCGTATTAGTACAAATAATTGGCTTAATAAATTGAACTGACAAAGTAACTCTTAGAAAAATTTTGTATTACATATTAAATTCATCATTCGAGCTTAATTATAATTAATCTTCTTTTTTCATATGTCCCCTACAGTACAAAAGTTGCAGCAACAATGCTGCAACATTGCAGCAATATTGCATGTTGCAGCAATATTGCAGCGTTATTGCGACGATATTGCTGCAAATTCTGTGCTATATGGGGTCAGACAACAATAATCATGTTAACGAAATGCTTATATCTGTTACTATTTTAATACGAGAGAATTATCTACAGTCTCTTATAGTCGTTTATATATGGGAAGAAAGATTAGAGATGAATTGTACGTCTTATATATATGTACATATATATAATTATTCCCGTTTCCACTAATCTAACTCGGTAAAAAATTTGTCATGCATATATATAATTATGTATAAACATACATAACATGTATAAATATTCATAATAACAATTTTGTACGAAATTGTCCATATATGTTCATACATCCTTCTTTCTTTTGTAAAATTACTTTTTAGTGTAACAGAAATAATAATAGTAAATAGAAATATTAAAAATAATTAAAAGGATAATTTTCGCACTATTTGTTTTAGAAAAATCAAGTTTGAAGAAATGTAAAAAAATTCCTTATGTATAATTATATACAAATTTATGCATAACTGTGTATGAGCAATTTTTTTATTTTTTTGCACAAACTTATTTTTTTCTAAAACAAAACTGGGAAAATTATTCCTTTAATTATTTTTTATGTTTTCACATTATTATCTATTATTCCTATTACACTAAAAAGTAATTTTACAAAAGAAAGAGAAATGTACCAATATAAACATGTATAGACCTATTTCATATATAATTACACATGTTTATGAATGATTATATGTGTTTATGTATGTTTATACATATTTATACATATTCATGCGCCAAAAAATTTTTACATTAACTTAATCTCGGCCCAATTTATTCTTTATTTTTTTCTAATTCTAAAAATTAGAAGAAAATAGTGAATTAGAAGAAAAATTGGAAGAAGTGTCTTATATTATAATTGTATGTATTATTTTTTTACTGCTTCGTATTATTGTAATAGATGGCATAGGTTCGGTCTCACCAACTCCAATTAACCTAATCGATCAACTGTTACATTGGAACTGACCAATCGCATTTGCTGTTTAGCAGAATTAACCAATCATGGTTGACACATCGATCGATTAACTTAATCGGAGTTGGTGAGGACCATAGTATTCTGATAAGAGGCTATTAATTATGAACGTACAGTACGTGAGCACAGTACGGTGAAGATAACAGGAGCGTTACTGTGAATGTAAGACTATCTGATTACAGGATGACATCTGCCTTTTATCATAAATAATTAAATGCGGATATCAGGTAATAATACATAGAATATTATATTTATAATAGAAATTATAATTAATTATTTATTTATTAAAACAGTATTTAAACGTAGTCAGAATAAAAGTTCATAACGCTGCGAATTTCAAGATTCAAGTAGTTCTAACTTCATTAAAAATGAACAAAATATTTAAATTAAAAAAAAAAGGATTTTAAAGCCTAAAATCCTACTATCTACTTTTAAAGGCACTATATCTTTTGAGTTTCTGTGAGTTTTACATATAGAAAACTACAAGTTGGATGAAATCGGAAATGAGAAAATCTTTTCATTTTGTGGGCCTGTCATGTGCCCAAAAAAACTTGCAAAAATGTTCGACTTTCTAAAGTAAAACCTTAAAGTTTTCCTAGTTGTTTTTTAAAAGATTTTTTTAATGTTAAGATTTTTTGTTATTGAGTTATCGCGGATTAAATAAAATTTAAGGTAGCGTTTTGACTTTGATTACTCATAAATTTTGTTAAAAATCGTCGTACGTACCGTAATTAAAAAGAAAAAACAAATTCTTTTATAGCTAAAATTTTGCTCTATTAAATGGTGTAATTGCTATTTTTTTTAAACGTGTAAACAAGATACAAAAAATGTAGCGCTACAAATTTTTATTCCAATCTAATATATTGAATATAACTATAGAACAGTAAATTGTCTCTAAGATAATATACATTATTTTATATTATTACTTTTACAATAGTAAAAGTTTGAAGTAGGCATATTATTTATTTCAATTAATATTGTATATATTAAACAAATTAATACTTCATTTTTGCAGATACTGAAAATTTTTTTTACACTTGCTGTAATTTATTTAGTAAGAATACAATTTATAGAACATGCATTGGCTCAAGGTCTCATTTATTTTATGCATGTTTGGATGTTTTAAAGATTTTCGACCTTCTGAATCATTTCTGACTGATTATTTAACTGGACCGTGGAAAAATTTTACAGCTAGTGAAGTTAGTTCAGTGAAGCAATTAATTTAATGAATGCGCGTTTTTAATTTTTAAATAATATCCAAACATATGTTTATTTTTCAGGTCAATCATGAGATTTATCCTGTAACTACGTATAGTTACTTATCGACGTTAATACTTATGTTCCTAATCACAGATTTTATTAGATACAAACCAATCATTATACTCTGTGGTCTGTCTGGCACTACAACTTTTCTTCTGATAATACTTGGAGATAGCGTACCTATTTTACAGATTGCAAAATTTTTTTTCGGCTTGTTTATGTCTGCTGAAGTGGCTTATTATACTTATATATATGCTCAAGTAGATAAAACTCACTACCAGGATGTCACAAGTTACACTAAAGGAGCCTGTTTATTTGGACGCAGCATGTCCGGTATCATAGCTCAATTAACAGCTTCCTTCGATTTGTTAAACTATCATCAACTCAATTATTTAACTCTTTCAGGTATATAAGTTAAATTTTAATTATAAAATTATATATATAAATTTTTAAAGTATTTATCATAAATTTAAATTTTATTATATAAAATTGTACAAGTAATTAAATAAATTGTTTAGAGACAATTATTCAATTAATTAGGAAAGAGAGTAACGAAAGCTCTTTATTTAATTCTATATAACATTTTATGTGCATTTAATATAACACAGAATATAAAACATATACTTTTGTGTATATATTTTTGTAATTACGTTATATGTAGTGTAATACATTTACGAAATATAATTTAATTTCTAGCAATTGGCATTGCGACAATCTGGTCATTCTTCCTACCTCCTGTGGGTCAATCAATTTATTTTCATCACATTAATCGCATTTCCATTGATGAAGAAAATTCAGATGCTATTGAACGTGCCATCAATCAGTCACAACAACTGAATATTTCACGGAAATCGTGCAACAAAAATAGTAAAAATCCAGATACATTGTTCTGTAAGGTCAAGAACGCGTATGCACTGTTGTTGAAACACTTCGTGTTAGCTTACTCTAATTATCGTGTAATTAAATGGTCGGCCTGGTGGGCTTTTTCTACTTGTGGATATCTTATGGTTGTCACTTATTCACAATTGTTGTGGCAAACTGCAGTGAAGCCGGGCGATAGGATTTATAATGGAGCTGTGGATTTTGCATACGCCATTTTAGGTAAGAGAAAAGCATTCTTAATAAAAATAATCGCGTGTATTTAAATTTTATTGAATTGAAATATGAAACGAAGGACAAGCAGCATCTCAAAATGCAATTGTTTGTGAGCAAACAATCTTTTGTTTATGTATATAAGCAAGATATATTTTTATTTTAGTCTTTATACATACTATAGTTCAAACATTTTATTGAAACATCTTGTCTAAATTATTTGCATAATTTGCTTAAAAATATTTTTGTACAAAACAGATTTACGAATACTTATTAATTAAAAAATGCAAATAAATTATATAAGAACTATATTTAATATATTCAAATTGATGAGATTGAAACAAAATTAAATTCTTCTTATTTACTTCAAATTTCAGAATAAAATTTAAAGCAAATTAAATAATAAAATCAAATAACACGTGTAATATTAAAGGACTAATTTAATTCAATTGTACATTAGATAAAGTTCCAAAAAATAATTTTTTACAAATTATTTTTATCAGGTTCAATAAGCGTATTTTGTGTGGGAAAAATACGATTAAACTGGAATCTATTAGGAGACATAATGTGTTCTGTGTTTGCGTTTTTAGAAGGCTCTATACTATTGATATCCTCTTACAGTTACAACATACAGATCTTATATGTCGGTTATGTCATATTTGGCGTAATTTATCATGTCATGGTTACTGTCGCAAGGTAAATTTCTCACATAATTAATACAATTAACAAACAATAGAAAATACTATATAATACAATATATACCCTGACGAAAATAAGAAACTTTATAAAGCATTGACAACCGTTCAATGACGATTTTTTGAGAATTTTTATGGTTTCAAACTTTATAAGAACGCTTACAGAACATCAATGGGTTTAAACACTTTCAGAACGCTTATAAAATACAGTACATATCGTTTCATGAAAGTTCTGTAATGTTAAAGCAACGCTTTTCAGAGGACGCTCAGTAAACGCTGATATACCTTCGTACAGAAAGTTCATTGTCAGACTTTTCAAACATTTATCAAACGCATTTCTCAACTCCGTAACACAAGCGTTTTTCCTCCGTTTAACAAACATTCTTCTACATATCCAATTTTCAAGCAGTGCACAACATCGCTACCCGAGGGACACAATGGAAAAATAAAATAGGATAAAAGGCGCGGTATGATGAGACTTCCCAATGAAAAATTTTGTACCTTTTTTTTGATAAAGTGTCTGCGTTCAGCAGGCTCAACACTTGAACTAAACGTTTATGTAAACGTCAAACAAACATTCATGAAACTTCTTATTTTTCAGAGAATGCCTTCCCAACGCTGCAGCGTTGCAATTTCCGTTTTACGAACATTCTACTGACCGTTTCTAAATTCTTAATAAATTTCTGCAAACGCTTATATAAACGTTAAACATTCATGAAACCTCTCATTTTCGTCAGAGTGTACATATATCTCGGAATATTTTGTTTATATATGTTTTTGTTTGAAAAAAATTGAATAATAATAATTATATAAAAAAATAAATGTATTTAAAAATAAAGATCCAAATACTTTTTACTTTTTATTATTAAAAAGTTTTTTTCTGTAGTTTTGTTTTTTGCGAGCTACAAACATTATTAAAGATTAAAATATCTTCTTAATAAAATTGTGTATAAAAAATTAGGTATTTTGTTTTTACTTGTTCATAGCTTTGAAGTCGCTAAATGTATATCCGAGGATAGTCACGGCTTAATATTCGGCGTGAACATATTTCTCGCATTATTGATGCAAAGCTTATTGACATTTGTTGTCGTCAATACAATCATGTTAAATATTAGACAGCAGGTAAGAATTATGCTGATAATGCACCAAATTCGTGTATTTCCCAATAACATGACAGTCTTCTTTTTTTAGTTTTACATCTACAGTGGTTATTTTATGGTCTTAGCTATGATATACTTAGTACTGAGTGTAATCAACATCCGGCAATATCGTCGAAGTATGACTCAACTGCGAACCAGATAGCTTTTTACTTCGCAGCATTTATTAATAAATAAAACGGCATATATCATTAAATAAACTTTTATTACATTCAACGAAATCCGCTGTATAAATTGTTTTTATTTTAAATCAAAATAATAATACGAATTAATTGTAAGCTAAAAGTTTTTTATTTTTCAGAAATACAATTCAATGTAGAATTAAACCAGTTTTTTATTCTCTAATAATAACGAATTTTGTTGAAATTAATAAAGTTTTATGGTCTTAACAACAGATTGCATCTGTTAAATTGTATTTATAAAGAGAGATATATATTTTACAATAATTTTTAAAAAAGATTAATTAATTGTAATAACAGATATACTATGACATTACAATCTTGTTGCATGTTAATTTAATGATACTTATTTTTTTATTAAAAAATATATTTGTAGGTTGAATATTAATTACGAGTATATATTATTAGTGGAGATATATAAAAAGGAAACCCAAGAAATGATCGACGCCTACTACGAAGAGTAGCACGTTTCATTTGTCTTACGAAAAACAGTATATTACATGATTTCGCGAAAAGAAGCACGTTTCAATTTAATTGACGAATATTATCACGTTTCATTCCTCGCTACGAAAACATACGTTTCAGCGTTTAGTCGTATTTAGTCGCGAAAAATAACATATTTCGCTTTATACCGCAAAAACTAATATGTTTGAACGTTTTACTACAAAAAGTAACACGTTTCCCTTTAAATTAACACGTTCCAGCGTTGAAAGGCGATTATCCGCGAAAAGTAACTCGTTTCATTTTATATCGCGAAAATTATAACGCGTTCCAACATTTAAAATCATTGGTATAAGTATTTCTACTTCTAACCTTTGTCATCGAAATTCTCGAAGGATAGTCCACAACCATATTACTTTTCGCGGTATAAAGTGAAACAGACTACTTTTCGTAGTCAAAACATGAAACAAATTAGTTTTCGCGGCTATAAAGTGAAATATGTTACTTTTTCACGGCTAAAGGCCATTAAACGTTCGAACGTATTAGTTTTCGTGATGTAAAAAGAAACATACTACTTTTCGTCACAAAACGCTCAAACATATTATTATTCGTGGTATAAAATAAAATGTATAACTTTTCGAAAGTCAAAACTCAAAATTAATTTTCGCGGTGAAAACGGAAACAATAGGTCTGTTTTTTATTGCTGCACTCTGAACCAGTGCAATAAGTTAAAGTGAAACAAACGTATATTTATTTCACTTCAACTTATTGCTGTGTGTACTAGTTCAGAAAGTGCGGCAATAAAAAACAGACCTAATGTTCTTCGACGCAATGACGTCATAAGTGGAGTTTTTCGTAGGACAAATGAAACGTGCTACTCTTCGTAGCAGGCATCAATATAACCGATTATTTATACACAACCGTCTGCTTCGATTGATATTATTATAGTATCGATTTTATTATTTGTATATAGGTATACAGAAAAATGACACAATTGTAAAATCGCTTAAGCGCTCAAGCTCGATTGCGTCGGACTTTTCTCGATAGTGCGATTCTAAACATATCATTCTCGATCGCGATACATTAAAAATCGCATTCTTCTGACACACACACACACACAACAAGAAACGATTTCTCAATTATATCACAGAAATACAGACTTTGAATTCGAGTGACAATTTGAAGACACACAATTACAAAACCGTGTCCGTAATAAGTGATTAAAAATTCGTAGAAATCATGTAAAAACCTGTGTGCGTAAACGCTGATTAGAAACGATTGAGTTTTTTAATCACCTGTGACTGATTTCTCAGAAAGAGAAATCGATGGTTTACGTTCCTTCAAGCGATACACATGTATACCTTGTCATTTGTTACAATTTTATACAGTTTTCGTAATTATTATTTATAACACTTAAGACTATACTGTAAGAGTTAATACAGTATTATTATAAAATGATTATAGCTAGTTATATTTTATATCGTCGATTTCTAAAAAGTGTATAACAAAATCCACAGCATTTACAATTAATAATAACGCACATACAAACACTCTATGCTTGCTATCGATAACAATTGACATATTAAAAAAGAAACTTTTCTTTGTTAGATGTCAGTGTTACAAATAAATAAAATATATCAACAATTAATATATTGCAGCTTAATATTTGCAAATAGAAAGTAACATTCTTATCACACGCAAGTTACATACGTTAAACGTATTTCTGTAATATATTACAAAGTTATATTTTAGAAAATAAATATTGAGATGAGAAATATGATATAATGCTATACATTAGAAAATCGAGATATTTTTTTAATATCTCGAAAAATATGATAACTCCTCGTTGTTAGGCACAAATATTTCTATACTGCTGTATATTCATTCTAAAATGTATTTATAGCGCGCAAAATTGTTTATATTTATACTAAATTGAAAACTTAGTTTTCAATTGTTTTCATTACTTAAAAGTTTCAACAATTATAAGATAAACATTTGCAACTTTGCATCCTAGCAGAAAATCATCTTAGGACCATTTAGTGTCTAAAGAAATAGTCAAAAAGCTACGGAAATAATTTTCTTCGATACTAAACAATCCTAAATATCCTTCTTTGATACAAAGTTAACTCTGTCAATGTAATCTTAGACTTGAAATTAGCTGTAATACTCTTAATATTAAGAATGGCTTGTACCTACAAAATTATAAAATTTTCATCCGATAACACAAGAATTTTTGACTGAAAAAACGCAACTTACTTGAGTTATAAAAACTTTGGAATGGAGATGCAAAAGAGAGCGATAAAAACCCACGCCATGTCCGACTAAATTCGACAACTTGTAAATTCTGTTTATGCCTAGAACCGATATAAAATCCGTATATTCTCGATATGTTTCTAATTACATGTATATTATATATGTATGTATGTATGTTCGACTACTCTGTAATATTAGACCAGCGCCTTCACTATATATCTGTAACTCTCGAAGATTGTCCATAAATTTTTGTAAACTTGTACTTGTTGCTTTGCATCAGGTATCTGGATTATTACGTGCATTGTACACGCGCTATATCGAATATTTGGAAATCCTTCGACAATATTCATTCCTAAACATTGCTTCCCAATATCGATCGCTCGGCGGTTTTTAGATACATACCGCTTCTCGATAAAAGTTATGACAATGCTATTTAATTATTAAAATGTGTTCTCTCTAAGCATATCTCCAATTTCAAACTCCTCTGATGTCCGTTTCTATCAATCGATGTAAATTAACTTTGATCTCGGTTCAACTTATTCTTCATTTTTTTCTAATTCTTAGAACTAGAGAAAGAGATGAATTAGTTGAATCAAGATTAAAATTAAAATTAAATTACAACGGTAGAAACGAGCATTAGTAAAAGATCAAGAGTTGTAACTTCCTTCTTAACGGCTTCACGCGGTATCCTTTCGCGGTTATTTTTAATTATGAAAATCTATTAATTGTAAGTTTTTTTATATTTTTACATGTGTGTAATTGGTCCGCAGATACCGATCGATGTTCGAATTTCTTTCGATTCTTGTAAAGAGAACGAATCTTATTGCGTTAAAACCACTGAATCTTGAATGTCTAACGTACCGTAGAATAAAATTGCTTATCGTGTATCATAAATTATTAACGCGTGCTCTGTTTTTTCTTTTTTGTTTTTTTTTCATAAATGTGTAAAATGCCATTACTATTGTGGTCCTTCTCCATGAAGTAGAGTGAATATAGCATTTCTGAGAACGAAATTCGGAGTAAAAGAAGTATCGTGTAACGGCTCATTCGTCATCGGACTAGTATATTTTCCACATAGGAACCATTCATTTATAGCTGCCCTTTCATAAGTAAATCCATCTAGAGATAATAATTATACACAATTAAATTTATTAAGACAAATTTTTCGAAATAATTTTTTATAAAAAAGCGATTTTTGTGTGATATTTTTACCTGAGCACTGTACAGGTTCTTTCATTATCTCGTGCGTTATAGGACACAAAAATTCATGAGGAATCTCACACTCGTCTATATTCTCCATAATATTGCAATCTTCACGCTTCAGCCAATATAATTGTTTTTTTAATATTTCCATAGCCTATAAAGATTTTTAGTTTATAAGGAGTTCGATATAATGAGGTGGCTAAAGTCATCATAATATTATGTATTGCACCTCTTCGTCATCTTCAAGTTCCAACCGAGATATTAGTTCATTTTCTGATACGGATAGCAAATGTCGTCCTGTCAGTCCCAAAGCAAGCACTTTCCTGGACAGTCTGGATAATTCAATGTCGTTCAACCATTTCAAAGTGTCGTATAGTTTCCAATCCGCAACCTGAACAACAAAATTTTATCAAATATTCAACTTACGCACGCATATTTCGTTCATTTCGCATAATCTAAAATCGATTTGTTTAATTACTGACCCTCTTCTTCTTGTTTCTCAAGCTATCCATTAAATTACTTTGTGACACCAACTGTTGCGGCACTTTCCAAACCAAGACAGTTTTGTCCAATGCACCTAAAAAAATTATTATTAATGATAAAATGATACTGATTATGTAAAATGTGACGATAAATAAATTCTAAATGAATTTTTAGTTAAACTTAAAATATGTAAAATTTATAGAAACAAAATTTGCAATATAAACAATTTATACAAGAACAACTTGATAGTTAAGAGTTATGTATACAAATTTATAATATTGTGTTATAATAGGTGTGAGTCATAACAGTTCAAGACCTGTAGCGAAGAATGATGTGTCCTCGGAAAATGCGCAAGACGTAACAAGACTATCATGATCCTCTAGGACATATAAACAACTTCCGGAAAACTGAAAGCGCATAATATATTGATCTTTGTGAAAAAGTTCTCATATATTTTGTGTCAAGTGTACAATTGCTTTGGTTGCTTACCACGCTCCATATACGAGCTGTTCTATCAGTCGCGACGCTACCTATAACTTCTCCGTGGACGGGCGAGAAACGGACACACATTACATTTCCACCGTGTCCGGTTAAGGACTTCTTCTCCTTGTAACTCTTTCCAATGTTGCTTAATTTAATGCTATCCGAATCGGATAATGGATCGTTTGGAATAATTATATGCCATAGTTTAACTAACGAATCGTTGCCGCACGTTGCTAGTAAATATATTTGCTGATTTACGTCTGTGTCCCTTGCTGCAAACAGTCGTTGATTTTTGCATTATTTAATAAAGATTTTTGTAAGATAATATGTGCGTGAAGATTAAAGATAATAATAATTAAAATAGTTTTTCCTACATGAACTGCACATCAAAGAACATGGAGTAGGACTGAAGTCACATCCTTGGACACCTAGATCGTGACTCGCGTCACAAACCATCAATGCTTCGGAACCATTTTTCTCGTCCAGAGTATCGAACAGACGCCAGGTGCCTTCGTTACACGCGGTCACTAAATATCGGGAATCATGCGTAAACGCAAGGGCCGATATCGCGTCGGCATGACCCTCGAAGACACTGTAAAATTGCCTAACGATTATTGTTAACTCTACAAATTACACTATCCGACACCGATTTTAGACCACGAACGGAACTAAGTGATTCTTATAGATTTTTTGTTGCTGAAAACGAATCCGTAAATGAAATTGCTCTATCAGGTCAGGTTTCCGAGATATTTCAAAAAAATAAGCTCAAAAGAATAAAAAAATGTCATTTTTAGCACTTTTAGTATCAATTTTCTCAAAAACCTGACGCGATAAAGCAATTATATTTACGAATATTCGTTTTCAGAGACCAAAAATCTATAAGAACCACTAGTCCCGTTTGTGGTCTAGAAAAAATTAAATTTGTTGAACAGTGTTATTGTTAACTATTAAAAATAGAAAAATAAGTCTATCAAGTTACTTGTAAAAGACGCATTAAATTATGTATACATATATATATATATATATTCACTGTACAAAAAATGATCTTTTTATTTAGTTAGATTATATTTATATATTTGTAACTCAAAATTTATTGAAATCAAAGTCTTAAACGGTCTAGCTGGATTTTAAATGCTTGTATGATTCTTGCGTGAATTTATATACTACGTATGTAGTCCCCAGAAACGCGTGCCGAAATGATTTTTCGGCCTTGAAAACGCTAATTCTACTAAACTACCGCAGTAATATCACTAGTTAAATTGACTGCTACTAATTGCAATTTAACAAATTTTTAATGTTTATTTGCATCTTCGAAACAATCTTAATAATATTGAATAACATATTAAAATCTGTAAATAATTAATTCTTATTGCGAAAAATATTTATATTAATATATAAATTCACACAAGAATCATACAAGCATTTAAGATCCGGCTAGACCGTTTAAGGCTTTAATTTCTATAGTTTGTATTATCACATATACGGTCCTATAATATATTATATTGTCAAAATTTATTATTTTAAACTTCATCAAAGTCTGCATTCTCGTTTGAGATTCTAATTTTCGAAAAAATTTTATTAAATTTTTTATGAATTAAATATATAATGTTAAATTTATAATATATTCTATATACATATATGTATATTACTTATTCTGTTATATATATATTGACGCGTACGTACTGCAACTGATCCATAGTTTCCATGTCCCATAACATTGTCTTCTCGTCGTCACCAGCGGTGGCAATCTTCGTGCCATCAGGTGACCACCGACACACACGGATGCCTGCCCCAGAATTGACAAAAGAGGATTTTGCTTGATCACCGGTCTGTTAACAGAAAACTGTTGTTAGTAAGAAATTAAAAATACGATGTTATTCGCAAAAAAACATTCGTTACTTCTGTGTTCCAAACTAAAGTTGTTCCATCGAGAGAACAGGAGGCAAGCATTGAACCGCATGGGCTAAATTCCACGTAATTGACGCTGTAGGTGTGAGCGTCGAGTGGACTGAATGATTTTTCCTGTATTTTAATCACCCCTTCCTCCCCATCCTCCTCTTCCGTTTCGACGCTCCAAATGCGCACTAATTTATCACTACAAACAAAAAAAAATTGCATAATTGTGTTACTGGTTTTACAGTTTCAAAGACTTACCCTGATGCTGAAGCTAAAAGATTATTTCCATGGAAGGCAACGCTGTTCACCGCACCGTTGTGCTCCTCCAATCTTTGAATCAATCTTACTTCATTAGCGTATGTCTCTACATTTTTCATTAGATCGTGTTCGTGCTTAGTACTCTAAAACGGAGAACCTCGTTAATGTTATTTTTTGTTGAAATTATCATTTATCACTTACTTTTTCAGGGTCATTCACGAACCACTTTGTTCCAATATTTTTTGAAAGTTCCGAATCGATAGTTAAGTTCCCTGTCAAGTCCCACGCAATTACGGATTTATCATTAGAGCCTGTAATTATATTAAATGCCAATTATCGAGAAACAAATCATAAACTTTTTCGGAAATACAAAAAATATTACCTGTCGCTAATAAGCTTCCGTCGCGTGAAAAAGCGCAGCAAGCTATATATCTATTGTGACCGGAGATTACTGTCACAATCTTTCCTGAGCTCTAAAATTCAATTAAAAATTAATAAAAAATTGGTTTGAATAGTTGATTTTTCCTCCAAGACGAGTCTCTTACCGCCTCCCAAATTACTGCCGTTTTATCGAGGCCACAGCTGGCAATATATAATCCGTTGCTGCTAAAACGGGCGCAAGTTAAGGCACTGCTGTGCTTTTCCATCACTCTACAAAGCTGTACAGTGGCAGTAGAGGGTTGGGCCTCGCACTTATTTTGGCTCACCGTGACTTCCCACAACTTCACGTCGTGATCGTTACCGCACGTGACCAGTTGATAAAGCTTGGTATATGGCTCGTTACCTGCGATAATAACGTTATTTATCACGCACAGCAATTCTTATATATCCCATTTGTTCAAAATAGTATATCCGGAATGCCTACGTACATGTGACTTCTTGGAACGTCGAGAAGTCGCAGCAAACTACTCCCATGTCGTGAGCATCATCAATCGAGACGAGTTCGGCGATGTCTTGATTGCTAGAGGTACAAGTGTCGATCAGTTCGGCAGTGGAGAACAGCTTTAGGACACCCAACGTGCATGAAGTGATCAACCAGCTCGAATCCGGAGAGAAGGACAGGCTTTGCACAGCACCCTCGTGCTTTTGAAAACATCTACAAGTCGAAATACAATGTCTCATCGTATCTTAATCGAAACGCAAATTAGGATATTAAGAAAGGGCTAATATTATTTTGCAAAAAGAAATTAAGGATTAAAACTTGAATTACAACATACTTTTCATTAAACTTCTTATAAAAAAGAACATTATATATCCTCTGTAAAAGATCTTGCCTGATTAAATTACGATGAACCAAATCCCAGATACAGACTTGCCCGTTATCTCCAGCGGTCGCGAGTAACGTCGAATCCGGGGAAAATCTGCAGACTCTCACCGCCTCGCCGCCCACTTGCACCATAGTATGTATCTTCGTTCCCGTCTTCGAAATTATATAAATTTACATTAACCCAAAACAATAATCGCTAAAAAATGATTTATGATTTTAGATTTTCACGTGACTTAATTTTTATGTAAAACGATCCTGGCGAAAATTTTTCTCAAAGTTTTTATATGAAGTAGAACTTTTCAGAAGTACTGAGAAAGACTACGTCTTTTCTCATTTTTCATATAAGTGAATTTTTCATATAAGATTTCTCATTTTATAATTTCTGAAAAAATACATTGAACTTTTTTATCAGAAATTATAGAACAAGAAATCTTAGAATATTTCAAAATTTATATATATAAAGAATTATAGAAAAGATGTAGACTCCTTGGCACTTTTAAAAAATGTTCCAATCTGTATAAAAACTAAGAAACGTTCTAAAGAGTTATCAAATTAAAAAAAATTTTTTTTCATTCTAAAATCTATATAAAAACTTTAAAAAAATCATATAAAAAAATCTGAGAAAAACATTTACCAGGAGATTCTATTTCTTTTATCATTTTACTCGTACGTGTGCGCATCAACTACAATAACTCGCTTTGACTTCCATATGTAGATATATACAAAAAATTCATTGTGTACCATTAGTTTGCAATTTCAAAGATTAATGATACACAATAAATTTTTTTTTCACTAACCGTATTACAAAGCGTGTTCGTATTTTTCTATATTTTTAAACCTACGCGCAAATTCCAGAGCAGCGTGGTACCGTCTATGCTGGAGGTGGCCAACATAGTGGACTGAGGGCTGACCTTGACTGAAGTAACGCCATACTTGTGCCCCATTAGGGGTGAAAAGTAAGCCTCCACGTAGCCACTGCCAGGCTGCCATTCCCAAACCCGGACGCGTTTGTCCCTGTGTGTTAAAAGAGAGAAGATGATTCTGACTTCTTAATACACAGCGAAAACCCAGTACACCGCGGAAATGTGTGCATATCGATAACCGATATTTACCCGGATCCCGTTACCAGAACGCAATCACCGGCGAAGTCGACGCTGTTTACATCGCTGGTATAAACTGTCAAAGTCTGCAAGGCTTGCACGTCGCCTATGGCAGTCATGTTTTTTCAGATTAACGGGGTTCTTAGCTGTAAAGACGTATGAAATATTAATCAGCTGTGTCACTTCTCAAAGTCAAGCTGATGTCATCTATACTTTAATGAAAAGGCGCGTGTTACGTAATTTTTTAATTTATCAATAGGAACAGTTCGAATTATATGTTACCTCTTTTGTTGACATTTAACAACGACGGATGAATTAATATTACCGCAGGTGAAACCGTCTATTCGATTAGAAATGGAATTGTATACGATAGACTTCCACGTCAGATACTGAATGTCAGAATATCGACGAGCCACGGTATCATATCATTATATTTTAAGTCATATCATTATAATTTAACCTCGATGGTATCAAATGATTATGATTTGTCATAGGTATCTTTAGAATTAATGTATTCCTTCGCTAGAGATATATATTCTGTCCATAGTTGTCACGTAGGAATGTCGTAAGGTAACGAGGCACGAGAGGCACTTTTAACCTTCGCTTTTCAAACACTCATGAACTGCATGTGCACGCGTTTCTCAATAATACATGTGCCCTGAATCGACTAACTGTTCTACAGGTGGGCATACGTACAAAGGCTGCGGGTTTCTAAAGTTTCTAAAAGTCAGGCAGCCCTTGGCATTGACCGCGCGTCGTTGAAGACATTTTATCGCGATTCACCACGTATATTAGTTTCGTTGCCATAATTGATAACTCCACGTTCAGAAACGTTATCTATATTTCTGTAGGAATTAATCGCCGAATGATAATTAAATACCGCGCGCAATTTCGTTATTAAAATAGGATCATTCGATCTCGAATCAAAACGGAGTTGCCTAATTTTCAGAACGCGAATGAGAAGTTCTGAGAGTTACATTAATATAATTTCTTCAGTTATCTATCTGGTCATTAAAATTGCAACGATAAAAAAATCGCGTTATATTAAATTGAAATTTGTAGAATATATAGGTCATAGTAAAATATAAGAATAAGCTGTATTTCTAATAAAAATACTAAGCTGTACTTTTATTTTAAACCCTGTGTATCATAAATAATGCACCATATAAATGCTTTGATATCAGCTCATAAGTTTTTTGATGTTGCAATTTTAATGACCAACAGTGTACACATCGATCATGCTATTTTTTATTCTTCAGAATTTACTACGAATAAAATGGCAATTTTTTTCAACATATAATAAAAACAGAATTAGTATCAAACTTAGACAGTGAGAATTTTATCGTTGACGTTGACGTGTACATTAAAGTAAACATCGATTGTACTTATCTGTTTTATCTATGAATAAAATAAACGCAAATATTACAACCGCGATCATTATCGCGGCTGTAAAAAAAAGTAGCTCGCTATATACAAAGCATTTGCTATCGGTTGTGTATAATTAATCAGATAAGGGCATAGCGTAAGTTCCATCGCAGAACAAATGATACGTTCGAAATGGAATTGTAATGTCACGCGATAAATAAAAATATACAGCTGTTTGTGTACACATGCCGTTATATTTATTTTAACGCACAAATTTATCCGATCGTAACGATATGCATATTATATTTATTATATATAAGGAAAGATCATTGGACACGTGCACGTAATTAAATAAAGTATTGTCGCTCCTTTTTCATACGCGAGGTTAAAGACTTGTATAACAATATTTAAAATATCCATTTCTGTTAATGTATTATAGATTAACTCTTTTAATGTGTATACTTAATGTTCCAGTTTTTTTAATAGAATGAATCGTTTGTGTTCTGCGTTAATTTTCACTTTTACAAGAATACAAAAATTATTAAGTAATTTTTACATATATTTTAACACCTTTAGAAAATATTTGTAACGTTGTACATTAAAAATAAAGAAAAGGTAAAGACATTTTTAGATAACAGATGCTCCAATTTCCTGGTTCTGTAAAACGCATAATGCGTTTGATACATTAGTCTATTAACAAATGTTGTTATATATTCATATTACGATCTTAAAAGATACTCGAACGTTTGATATTATCATTTCAGCCTTATCATTTAATATTCGGTGAACAACAAGGATAAAATGATCATGCGCATCATATATTTTACAGAACGCATTTAATATTTCAAAGAAAAGAAATGCGCAGAACACGAATGACCTAATTATATGTACTAACACTGAGAAAAATGTTTAGTATTTGTGACCATACTGCATCATAAATTAATTATGATAAATTAATTATGATTACAAGCTCCATTTTTATAGTTACAATTGCTATAATATCAGTAATAATAACTATATATATATATATATGTATAGTCCTTTCAATATAAAAGAATTGTATTATAAATTATAATTTTAAATATTAATAGTAAAATATCAAGATATAAGAGGCAAATAAAATAATCATTTTTATTCAGTAAATGCGCAAATCGCAATTATAACAGTAAACAATTTTTTTTTAATTTGCTTACTATGTATTATAGTAACTAAAAAATATGTTAAGAAAAAGCTAAAGATTTTCAAGCAACGTGTGAGACTGTTATTATAAGCACAACATAGTATAGACTATATTTGCATAGTTAAAATAATTATAAATACATACAGTGAGTGCAAAAAGTATTCGCGCGTACAGAGAAAATATTTTTTAAAAAACTTTATTTTTAAAAAGTAAGTATTATCCAGTGAAAAATGAGTCATCGAATTGATATCGAATCGATATCGATACGATGATCTCGATACCAATTCGAGGTCAATTCGACGTTTAAATGACGATCATTTCTTGCTGGATAATTAACAATTTATTCATAAAAAATACAATAGGCTGTATGTTTCTTAAAATGATATATATCGAAAAGATGTGTATTAATTATAGAAAATATATCATCTCAAAAATAAGCGAAAATTAAAAATTCTATTGTTTGGATCTTCAAAAAGTATTCGTAGAGTCGAGAAATTTAGCTTCTAAAATCAAAAATATATGCAAAGCTCGTTTGCTTATGTTAGAACGGAATATATTTATTGTATAAAATTGCTAATTTATTTTTTACAAATAAGACTTTTTTATAAAAAAATTTTCCTTGTATATGTAATACTTTTTGCTCTCACTGTAATTGTCCAAAAAATGAGTTTAAATTGTAATTAAATTATAGTAATTGCAAACATTTTTTTCTCTTAGTGAAGAATTAATCTTCGTTTAATTTACCCTTTATCCTTTTTTTTACTCTTACAATTAGAGAAAGATAAAAAATAAATTAAACTATAATTAATCTAAATTGATAGAAACGAACGAAAGTCATATAAATCATATGAAACTGATAGCGCAAATATTCTAATTCTATAACATGAAAAATTACTACAATGACTAAGTACTAATCACGTAGATTTTATTATGTTATAAATAAAATAAGTATACAAAGGGGAAATTAGAAATTTTTATAGAATGTGAAATCATATTAACCGTAAATTTCATCGCGTTATGAAGGTGTAAGTAAATAGATTAAGCAAATAGTAAGGAAAAATTAAAAATCTTAGAACACGCGATTATATTTTAACTGCGTAAATTTCATCACATTATGAGAACAAAAACAAATACATAACGAGGAAATTAAAAATTTTATAGAATGCGAAATAATATTAACGTCATCACATTACTAAGATATCAAGTATATAAAAGGAAATTATAAAAATTTTACACTGCCGAGTCCGATCGTCATTTGTTTTAAAATTCTTATCATCTGTCATATATTTCAAACACGCCGCGTTCACTGAAGAGTTAAATGACTCTGAAACATATTAATAAATATATCCAATATCAAACGTCCCACCGACACAAAAATAGCTATATTTAATAATAATTTATCCGTTATGACTCATGTGGGTGGCGAGCCGTTATTTAATCCATTACCCCAAGCCAATGAACCCCTTATTAAATTATTCACTATAACAATAAATCAATCAAGCGAAAACAAATTGACGCTCTCTCCAAGCCGGAGATCCCTCCTACTAAATATACATATACATTAAAATCGTTAACTCCAATTAACATCTTTCTAGTTGTAAGTTCGTTTCTAATTAATGCTCTATAATTGTACATCGGACGGGCGGAACATCGTTTGCGGTTTTATGACTTTTCCTTCGCGTCTCTCGCTCGGACGACGATTTTGCAAACGCAATCATCATTTCTCTCGTACTCACTCGTAGCAAAGGCACATGTTCCAGACACTAGTCGACGGCCCTCGCGGTGCCTCGTCGCTCCATCAACGAGCACCCACACGGCACATGATTCTTCGCTGCCGTGATTCCAGTGAGCTCTACGCGTCGCGAGGCGATGTCACATTATGTTTTCGCGCTCGACATAGTGCTCCTGCTGACGAGACACTTCAAACAGGATACCCCAGACAGGGCACCTGTCACAATGAAGTTAAAAGCGCTAAACGCATGTCCACTGGCCGCCTCCAGGATCGATATTACAGAGGCGTAACGCGAGATATAAACTGTATGCGGTCTTTGCTCGTTGCAAAATGTAACATCGCTGCAAAGAGTAAACCCGTCTCTCTCTCTCTGTTCCTCTCTCATTTTTTCTTCACAGCCTCACCGAGCGAGACAATTTTACGCTCATCCGTGTTGCGTAATCCATCAGATTAATAAAGCAAATTGCTTTGTTATTCGCGCGAGCGCGTGGTATTAAATTTGTTGACCGCTTACGATGGTTCAGCTTTTTATTTAGTAACATATAGTACATCTGCAAAATATAATTATTCAGATATTTATAATTTATTAAGCGAGGAAAAAAAATTTGTGTACGAGACAAACTTGTAACTGTATAAATTTGTATTTTTTTTCTTTAATTTCCTCACAGAGAAATTTATCGACAATGAATTAAACGTTTATTTGGATCTGAAATATATGAAACAAAATAAACGATTGCAAAATAAATTTTATATACGACATGGCAAGTGCGTATCCACGTAATAATTAATTTGAGTCTATCAGATCCTGAGACGCGCGTATGAAATTCATCGAATCGCACGCGTCTTCGAATTTTCGTTATGCGGTGAAATTTCATGTTCATATGATTGGCTATGATTTACATAAAGTCACTATAGACTGATGTATATACATAAATATATAGGAGAAATTAACGAGATGAACGAGCTAAGAGGATGAGGTGGATCTCGATATTGTTTTTAGTTTTAATGTTTTTAATAATAGTTAGGTCCTGCGCACAATAGAAGGAATAAGGAATTAGGAATAAAGAATAAACGATTTCAACCTATTAGAAACCGTGTATTCCGGTGTATCCGATTTCTGATAGATTAAAATAATTTATTCTTTATTCCTAATTCCTTATTCCTTCTATTGTGAACAAAGCCTTTCGCAATAATAATATTAAGGCTGGAGTCCCATGAGGTGTATTTACCCCGTATCGCGTAACCGCGTAACCAATCAATAATCAGTAAAACGCGAAATCACAACAGCGGATCGCTTCTGATTGGTTACGCGGTTACGCGATACGCGGTAAATACACCTCATGGGACTCCAGCCTAAGACTGTTATTTCATGCAGCATAACTTGTACAGTCAATCCAATTGGTCTGTTCGTATTGTTTAAAATCCCCCAAAATTTTTAAACTTAAAATGAGATAGATATATATTTAAGCGTTGACAAAAGAGAAAGCGAAAATGCTGAGTGCAAAAAGTGTAAGCAACGTGATGACAGAGAAAAAAATTAAAGGGTCCTCTACATAGAAGTCGTAGATGGTCGTGGAGTCTTAAGTCGTAGGAAACCAATCAATCACAATCAAATATAAGGAGAATACTCGATTGGAATTGGTCAGTTTCCTACGACTTAAGACTCCACGACCGTTTTTTAGGACTTCTATGTAGAGGACCCTTTACAAATCACATTTGAACAATTTGATCACATGACCATTGCGATTGGTCAATTCTTTCTTCATCCGAGGTCTCGGACCGATTTCTAGCATCGTGGATACAAGGCTTTAGACCGGTATTCATAGTCAGATCTCATATTCAAGACTGTCTTAAGTACGGTCTTAAGAAGTCACGAACCAATCAGAAGGCTGCATTAGAGTCTTAAGATATTACTTAAGGCTGAGTTTCCACTGAGCGCGTCACGCGTCGCGTCGTCCATCGCGTCACGACGCGACGCGAAAGAAAGAAAGAGTGAAGTTTATATGTGTACACAACCCCTCTCTTTCTCTTTTTCGCGTCGCGTCGTGACGTGATGGACGACGCGACGCGTGACGCGCTCAGTGGAAACGTACCATAAGACGGTCTTGAAATAAGACTCGACTATGAATACCGGCCTAAGATCTACGGAACACTCGAGTGGGAATCTGAACACACCTCTGGCGAGGTGCGTCAGTGCGTGCGCCGACTGACCGGTACTGAAGTGAAAAATGAGTAAAAACACGTGACATACGTGAAGAAACGCGTATTGACGCGCACGTAAACACGACATGACGGCTGAAATCAGCGATCAGAGTATTAGAAGAGGTAAACAATCGCTAGAGGAAAATTCATTGTTGTTTATGGACTCTCTGAGGCCGACTTGAGAGAAATCCGATGCCGCTCGGCAGCAAACCAAAATGCGTCAGGTGCGGGACACATGAGACCCCTCTATGGCATTCGACTGACGCTGGAAATTTGTGCAATGCTTGTTTGGAGGACGAACGGAATGCTGAGGCGAGCACGTCTTCAAAGACAGACGAGGAGGACAGGAGTGGCTCGCTGAAGCCTAGAAGGAGCACGCGGATCACGAGATATTGTAACACAAAGGCGATAGGGCCACATAGAATTGTACCCAAGGGTAAAGGTCGCAGGAATCTGTTTAAGAAAACGGTGAGCGAGTGGAAGATGTCTTCCCATTTTTGCCACAATGATGTGGCAGTAGATGCTTTCCAGCAAAAGATGTGGGATACGTTCCGTTTTCACACTCATGATGTAATCATCAGTTCATCCTTATTGTTTATCAACCCTGCAAACACAATAGAGCCTTAAGCCTTAAGAAATTAATCAATCACAGTCAAATGTGAGAATAATAGCCGCAGCACACACTCTTGCATAACGCATAATACATAGTGCATAAGCGAATCACTAATCAAAATCTTTCCTTTCCTCCCATTCCGTGGAAAAGAAGAATTTTGATTGGTTGGTTGCTTTATGCACTATGCATTATGCAAGAGTGTGTGCTGCGGTCTTAAGTCCGGATCTACAATAGGTAATTTAAGCCTTAAGCCGTAAGAAATTGACCAATTATAATCGAGTGCGAGGAGAATAATCGACTGTGATTCGTCCATTTCTTATGGCTTAAGGTTTAAAACACTTATTGTAGATCCGGACTTATGGGCTTTCTACAATAAGCCGCAAGTCAGAAGTCTTAACCAGTCTTAACCAAATCGTTCAAGTTGGCTATTGGCCAACTTCACCGATTATGACTTATGGCTGTTCTACAATGTGCTTTTTGTTTCCTGTTGCTTGCTGTTTGTCTCTGTTTCTTGCCTTTTTGATCGAGAAAGCAAGAGACAAACAGCAAGAAACAGGAAACAAAAAGCACATTATAGAACAGCTATTAAGATCGCTTAGAACTTCTGACTTGCAGCTTATTGTAGAAGGCCCATTATGGTCAATTCCTTAAGGCTTACTATTCTATTGTATTTGCAGAATAAATATTAAACAAGAACAAATGATGCTTATAAGCAAAATCGAACGTAGTCTGGTGTAACACAGCAGGGTTGGTAAAGACTATTTTTTTTTTTTTTTTTTTTAAGAATAAAACATTGTATTTCTTCTTGAATATGTTTTTAATGCTTCAAATATGCTTTAAACAATACTATAAAAAAACATATTTAAAACATATTAAAAACATCAATTAAGCATGTTTTAAACTGTTTAAAACACGTTTAAAATATGTTTTTTACCAACCCTGTAACACAGTGAATCATTATATTCTTGTTTGTCAATATTATAAAGATGATAATCATAGTAGATATTTTCCATGATACAAATCAACACAAACATCATTTATTTAGCATTTAATGAATAACAGAGACAATTTGTTTTAATTTGTGTCACATAGAGCCGGTTCCACCTTTTGGTAAATTTTACCTATTAGGTAAATCTGGCAATTTTCGCGCATGTGATTGGATAATCTTGCTACTTACCCAACAGGTAAATTTACCAAAAGGTGGAACAACCGGGTCTAAATGGAAAGTCTATGTTGTATCATCTGTTGATGTTTTTCAACAAAAGTCAGTCATTATTTCATCTTTGTTTAACATTAGTAACAAAAATATAATGATTCACTGTGTTACCTGCCTTTTTTGCTGGAAAGTACCTACAGTCTCTCATAGAAATATGTGGAATCATTGTACGACTGTTTATGTTTAAATGTATTTGTAGCCAGTGAAGGCACCTACAGCTACTGCGACTCCAGCCACCAGCAACTTTGTATTTTACAAGGGCACGTATTTTCAAGTCGGAGATGTAGTCTCTCTACAGGATGTAGACGGTGGTATTTATTATGCTCAGATACGTGGTTTGTTGACGGACCAGTATTGCGAAAAGAGCGCCGCCATTACCTGGTTATTGCCCACCACAGCGAGGTGAGGCTCCTTATTCCATTAACTTCATGAGATTATGATAATTTTGTAACAATATTTATCAATATGCATATCCTTTTAATTCAATTTCTTGCACAGTTCATCTTTCCTTTTTTTTTTCACGGAGAAAAAAAGAGAACTGTGCAAGAAGCTAAATGAACAGCTAAAATGAACAGACTTAGGTCCGTTTCCACCAACGCAGATCAACTTTAATCTCGGTTCAACTTACTCTTTGTCTTTTTCTAGTTCTAAAGATTAGAAAAAGACGAAGAGTAAGTTGAACCGAGATTAAAGTTAATCTATATTGGTGGAAATGGGCATTAATGTTAACTGATGTACCTTTTAGTCCTCCACCAGAAGAAGGTTTCATTCCTGAGACATATTTAATTGGACCAGAAGAAGATTTACCTCGTAAATTAGAGTGCATGGAATTTGTAATGCACGCTCCATCGGATTATTTCAAGTTAAAAAACAGTCCCTATCCACCTCCTCTCACGGAGAAAGGAGCGGGCTTCATATGGACGACTCTTAGAAATGAATTGGCCATATCTAAAAAGTAATAGTAATTCTTTATTGAGAACATGTATTAGTACCCAGTTCAACACAAAGTCCAATAAAAAATCTGTCCCAATTTTGGTCTTTGTGTTGTTTGGACAGTGTCGCTCTAAGCTTAAAATAATAAGATCATTTTTACACGCAATCACTATAATTTCTTTTTTTAATACTTTTTAGTCATATGTATTATTTAAATTAAGAATGATTAGAATTATGTGGAATTGTAAAGAAGTCGCAAGAGTTGACACGAAGAAAATATGATATATTTTTGAATGTGCATCACATTCAAAACAATATAGAAATAATTTTGTAAAAAATAATACACATTTACAATAGTGCTATTTTATTTATTAAATATATTTTTATTACAATATAACATTAATGCTTTTCAGTGAATAACATGTCTTTCTTACATGTAATAGAACGTGGAGCTAGACTACTAGACAATCGAAAAGTTGCCAATACTATAGCTGAATTTGTAGAGTTGATATCATTTTAATATCTCTTATCATATATAAAAAATTTAAGAAACATTTTCTCATCTTGTTCGATTTCTTTTCTGGTTTAGAAACTCCTCAAAATTAGTTTCTCTCGTAGTTCGTATTTTCTTACCGGAAGAACCGTGACTCAAAAAAGATAATGATTCATCCATGATCTTTAACTCTGGTATCGTTGAGACGGGATATACGCAGAGGTAGCAGGCAGCATTGGTGCATTCTCGCTTGCTTGAAGGGAGGGGAAAAGTGTCCTCGGTGCGACGGTGGTGTCAGTTACATTCGGGATGACAGAAGAGACCAGTCAGCTGGGTGCCAACGATGTGACGGCTGGTCAGAATTTGAGGTCTTTTATGGCTTGCGGCAAGTCAGGCAGTTTCATATCCTTTATTTGTTGCGGTATATTCATGTTCTTCACTGCTGAGACAGCACGCGCGGGCGCTGCTGTGATTCCCGCCTGCACACATCATATGGATCGAAGAAGTGTGGAGAACGGACAAGTTTTAGGAAGGCTGAGTAAATGTAAGGGCTGTAATTTTAGCTACAAGGAGCGAAGGCAAATGACGGATGACAACATTGACAACACGGCGTTGACATTTATTATCCTTACAAAGCGACATTTACATTATGAAGGCACTTGGTTTATGCAGTGGCTAATTACAAAACAAAATTGCATCGCCATGCGTGTTACGCAAACGCTTACGCTTTATGAAGCTAAATACAAAGGATTTGGCGCTTTCTTGGATAAAATATTTAAAAAAAGAAATATAAAAAGAATGAATTCGCACAGAAGTACGATTATATAAAGTGGCCTGATTTGCTACTGCCGATTTACTTAAGGAGGAGGTCCCAGAAGGACAAACGGACGGGGTGAGCAAGACCGCCCAGATTTGTAAGTCCCCTAAAATTGATGTTATGTCAATCAGTCCTACCTGTCACCATATCAAATATGTTCTACAGATCGCTGTACCAGTATGCATGCATAGCTCAACAGACTGCTTAGGTAGTTAATGTATTAAAGCTCAGTGACAGAAAATAAACACATTGCAAAATTAGCAGTACTAGCTTGAAACATATAAGCGTTCTATCTGATGAGATGGGCATGATATAAAAATTTGGATGTAAAAAAATTATAAAAATTTATACATTGTGAGCACAGATCGAAACAATCCTGTGATCTTGTCATAGTTTTATCACATTATAACATGAAACTTATTATTTTTAGCTAAATTTCTTGTACCAGATTTATTCCTCCTTTTCTCTTTATATTGGAGGAAAAAAAAAGAAATAAACCATAGAAGAAGTTCAGTTAAATAGAACAGAGATTTATTCAGTATAGCTAAATCAAGGATACAAATTCACAGGAAATGAGATCACAGTTAAGATAACATTAGGGATTATAAGCAACCTGTACTTACCTCTTGTTTTTCCAACTTATTCTGATCCTCGATCCTCGTGAGAATCTCAGTCATGTTGGTCTCGAGAACCATACCACCCATCACCAACTCGTTAAGTATGTAATGAACTTTATCCACGTGAAAAATAAGATCAAGCTCGCACACATTCTCAAAGCATTTGTCCAAAGTTTCGACGAAGACTTGTATCAGGTCTAGGATTCCCAGCTCTGATTCTGAGCTATCGACGCAGAATACAAAGTAAAGCGTTGCATAGTGTCGATAGATCAGCTTGTAGTCAGACCCGCCAATCAGGCTACCACCCTCCAAGAAATTGCACACGTTGTCGTCTCTCTTCGAGACAAGTTGAAATGTCTCTTTTATTATCTGCTGCTGCATATCCTCGTTCTAAAACAGAAAATGTATTGTGTATTGCAACGATCCATATGTTTTCATGTTCCTATTGTGTTGTGATACATTCGATAGATATATCGACGTAGAAATTACACCACATGTCGTCTCCACTATTAGTTTTTATTATATCTCAATAAATAAAAGGATTTAATTCGCAGAATTTACAAGTGACAAGCAGAAGAGAAGTCCAAAACGAGCAGCATTGAGATATACTTACAAAGTACTGATAAAACTTGGAGAGACGAGGTTTCCCATGATTATTAAAGACTAGGATCGCTTTAATCATGTCTGTGAATCCGAAATCAATTGGCGTCACTGAACCTTACGGTAATCCTGTCACTACGTTCGAAACGCACGGTCATTAGGACGCGAGAGGTTATGTTCTACTACCGCAACTGTGCTTCGACATTTTAATTCTCATTATTTTTCTTTGGCAAGTTGGAAACTCTTCGTAGTGTATACGTTAATTGATAATTAATTGAGCATGGATAAACTCTCCGAGGTTATCGATCAACGGCTGTCAATTTATCTGTCAGTGAGCTGACATTTAAAAAATCAAAAGAATTCGCTCTACTTGACTAGTTGACTACGTGTAAGTTCATGTAACTACTTGTTCGCCTGCACTCTCCGACACTTTCTGTACTTAAAATGAAGTGGACATGCATTCAGGAACGTACAAAAGTAGCGAGGGATAAGGCAATAATCCGATCGAGGGAAAATTATTCTGACAAGTATTCACGAAAAATTCGTACGTCTTCCTTTTTGTTTTTAAAACAGCTCTTTTTCTTCCCAAGGAGAACAAAAAAATCAATAAAATAATAAAATGTACGTTATATATAAGTATATATTAATCAAATCATGACAAAAAATGCCATAAAAATTTAATCAATAATTCGCAATTAATGATATTAAATTAACATTATTTTGATTTTCTTGTTCTTGATGGATTCATATTCATTAGTTTTTTTTTTCATTGATATACGAGTTCGAATAAAATGATTTTGACTAAATGCCCTCTATTTAATCGACGATTATAACCCGAATAGCATAGAGATCTCCAAAGGACGTTTTCTAAAGAACATTCAGAGGATATCTCTATGTCCTAAGAATTACCGTTCGCCAAAACGTCTCTCGAATAAAGTGTGCTATCAGGAAATTTCCCGGGGAAAAATATTACATATCTAAATATATATAATATATATAATAATTGTATAATTGCCATTCACGCGGCATTCGCGCCCATTCGCATCATCAAAATAACACAACACTGTCAATATGTGCCACTGAAAAGAACACGCTGTGTGAGTTTACGCAATTAAACCAAAGGTAAGTTCAGATGAAAATTAATAAGAAAAACAAAATAAAAGAATATACTAATAAAAATAATAAATATTGGGTGTTTTCTAACAATTAGCGACTCAGTACTACTCAGTGATTATCTCATCCTTGTTTAACATTGACAAACAACAAGAATATAATGCGATGCACAGCTAGCTGTGTCACACCGTGTCATGTAGGTACGTGTGTCTGTTTTGTTGGAAGGCACCCATTATTATCAATTTCTCATATCACGTTGTTTGCTTAGAATGAGATAAATTACAGAATAGACTCCTTAGTTTTAGAGAAAATATATATTTTGTAAATATTCTTTATATTGAATACGTTCTCTGAATATTCTTAGAATATGAAAAAGAATATTTATTCCGACCTATCTGGAATATTTAAATTGATTTCATTTTGATATTCTGTGTATGTTTATAGAATATTTTTTAATACATTGCAAAATTATTTTAATATTCTCAACGAATGTTTATAGAATATTTATTGAAAGTGTTTGTGTTATCTGGGTTAGAACTACATTAAAGATTAAGTATTTTTATGTATGTTTAATTTGATTATTATTATTATAGTTTATCAAATTATAGTTTGGTACGTACTAAATACGTGTGTGGATATACTTGATATTTGTACTTTTCATATTTTTATTTGATTTTTATAGGTAATAAATCAAATAAAAATATAAAAAGTACAAATATCAAATATATCCACATACGTATTCAGTACATACTATTCACATTGTCAGATACGTATAAAATACGTAACATACATTACGTATACGAAGCGGACGTTTATTGGTATTAAACATGTATCTAATACATGAATCATACGTATTGCTACATATTTGCAATATAGCAACATTTCAAAATTTATGTATCTAATATATATTTACAGTGCAAAGTGCTGTGTGGAATATGTTAATTTTTTGTATAATTATATATAACTGTATATAATTATATATAATTATATATAATTATTATATTGTATAATTATATATAATTAGATATAACATATTTTTCCTCAGGTTATCTAAACAATAGTTCTAATTATTTAATATATTATACATAGTACGGATGAGTTTTTAAAATTTTTATGATTTAAGAAAGATTACCACACGAAAAAGGGATTAGAGACAGTAATGAATTATATATAAAAATGTTATATATATGGAGATATTTTACATATAATTATACATAATTATACATAAAATATGTCAATTTTTTACAATATATAACTATATATAATTAACAAGACTTTTACGTTGAATTATACATATTATACTTACTAATCAGCTAGTTGCCGATTAAATTAATCAAAGTGTGAGTAAATCCATTTCTACGAATGAAGATTAGCTTATGTACATTCCGTTTACTTTTTACCTTCTTTTAGTTCTTAGAATTTAGAAAAAGATGAAATTAAGTTAGAGCGAGATCAAAGTTAATTTATCGATGGAAGTGGATATGAGAGAAATAATTTTTCTTTAGCCTCTTATTCCTTACAGTAGGCT